ACACACACTGCAGGTCTGGCTCCCAGGTGAAGGGGCTGGAGCAAAGGGGCACCAGCTCCCCTCGGCCAGACTAGCTCCCCACCCCCACCCCCCAGATGAAACGAGTAGTAAAGTTAATGAAATCCACATTGTGTGCCTTTCCCGCTTGAACCATTCTAGTCTCCAGGGCAATAGAAATAGCGTGTGCAATAGCGAGCAATAAAAGACATAATGAATTTAAAAGCAGAGCAAAGAAGGAAGGGGAGGACCTGGACACTGCTGGCCCGAGGCTGGCGGAAAGGCGCCCGGGGCCTGGAGGGGGTGGGGGGCTGGAGCTCCAGCTGGAATTGGGAACCTCGGATCTGCGTGGGGTTGGGGGAGGGTAAGTGGAGGGATGGAGGAAAGGGGGGAGGTTGGGGGAGGGAAAGGGGGAGGAGAAGGGAACAAAAGGAGAGAAACACTGAGCGGGAGACTGGGGTTTAGGGACTGGGACCCGGGTAGAGGGGTGGGCAAGCCACTGCTGGCTGTGCTCCCCTCTGCTTCCCCTCCAGCCCCCAGTTTGTAGGTGCCAGAGCTACATCAGAAGCCACAGGCTTCGAGCCAGGTGCTCAGCATTTGGTGATTGCTTTATTAGCTTTTCTTCTCTCTCTCCTTTTTTTCCCCTCTAGGGCACACAAAAAAAGGTGTTTTAAATGGAAAGAATAAAAAAAGACCCTTGAAAGCATAATTTAAAAGGCTCCTGGGGAACGAAATCCTTTCATGAAACAAAACTGCAATTGTTCGGAAAGAGGTAAATGTCGGGGAAGGAAGGGGTGATGAGGGAGCCCCACATGCTTCCCCCTCCTCCCTCACTCCCAGCCTTGTGGGAGGAGGGAGCAAAGTGCCATGAGTGAAGAAACCCCCAGAATAGCTCCCAAAGGTAAAATCATGGGATTGTTGAGTTCATGTTTTCAGAAATTTCATCACTGGGGATTTCCAGCCCAAAGTTTTCCCCCTTAAACAGCTCTGCTTACCGGAGAGGTCCTTAAACCTTGGGGGGGTGGGGGAGAGGTCTTGGGGGGTGGAGTGAGGTAGCAAGGGAGATGTGGCCCCTGAGGAGACCTCATTCTCCCTGAAAAGAGATGTGCTGGGTCACCCCAGCTCCCAGAGCAGCTGGGCTGTAGCCTGCACCTTTCAGCTTCCCTCACCCTCAGGGACCCACTCTGTGCTCTCAGCACTGGACAGATAAACTCCTTCCTAAACCAAGGGTCTCAACCCTTCTAGAAGCACAGGAGACAGGATCCAGGCATGGGAAGAGGTATGAGCACCCTGTGCACTGGCACGGACCCTAGTGCTGGGAGCTCCCCTATCGGGAAAAACCCCCCTAAGCAACTAGACCCCTGATTATTAGGTTAGGGTCAGGGAGGGATTTCTAGAGAACAACTTGTGAGCTTACAATACAGTTCTAAACCAAATAGATTCAATGGTTAAACTGCCTGAAACCTATGGGACTGAGGATAGTTTGGAAGAGATACAATCAATGCAGGAAGTCTTCCTGGAAGAAGGGGCCTTGAGTCTCTCCATTTGCATCTGGAGCTCAGAAGTCCATTCTTGCCCTTGGATTGGGTGTTTGTGACCTTGGGCTGGGCCCAAGAATGCAATTCTGTCTTCTTCCCATCCTCCCTGCTCACTGCCTTCACTTCTCTCCACCCCCATACTATCTTCTTTTCAATCAAAAACCAAAAGAAAACTGGGTTAAGGCTTGCCCTCCTGGGTTTCAACTTCCCTTTGTGCAAAGAGGGGACAGAGGATGGTTTCTGAGGATCCCTAAGGTTTTGCAATAGTGTGATATTCATAGAAAGGGGAGGTTCCAGGTTCCCTGCCCCACCCAAGGAAGGGTGGTGCTGAGAAATGAGAAGAAGGTGGAAAAGACAGGAAGAAAAACTTGGAGGGGGACGGAGGGAGAAGACTGGGGAAAGACTTGGAGGAAGCACATGAAGCAGAGACATGTGAAGAAGAAGCTGTGTTTTCTCTCAGCCTTGGAATTCTACCAGGGACTTGAGGGCATGGAAGAAGACTCTTGAAATCAGAGACAGGAGTGTGGGTGAGAAACTGTGGGGAGACTAACAGTAGCAGTCTTTATCTTCACTTTTATTTTGATTTTGCTCTTTCCCTGCCAGATTGTTCTGGCCTCTTCTGCTGGACAAGCTTTGGGGCCTCAGTGTCCCCATTTTGGCCCAACCCTGTTTATGCTGGGCCTTACCCACTGGGGGATAGGTAACTTTGGGTGTTTAATTGGAAACTATGTTAACAATATTCTTTCTCTTTTCTCTATTGCACACTAGTTGTATTAAAATTCTTCTGTATTAAAGATCTTATACACTAAGAGTATGTTGTTTTGGTCTTGAGGTGGTAGATGACAGAAGCCATTTAGAGCAGGCAGGTTTGGGGGCCCCGGGGTGCTCCCCTGCTTGCCTGCTAACAGTTCTAGGCCACTTCTCCAGGGAGCAGCGAGCTGGCCGTAAGCCCAGAGGGTTAGTCCACGTTCCTCTAGCCCCACTAGGAGCCCAGTCTCGCTGCTGTCCTTCCACTTGTGTCTGTGAGCCTCCATCTCCGTGCCCACCTTCCTGAGGCTGAACTGGATGAGTCAGTGGAGGGCAAAGAAACAGCCCTTCTCTTCTGAAGGGCCCCTCGCCATTATTTTGTGTGTTTCCCCCACCAGCTTCCTGACCCTGTTTGCAGGGTTGTGATTGCTGACCCCCCAGGAGGGAAGCGATTTTCCTCTCCCTTGAAAGCCATTTTCTTGTCTTGGTAGAAGCAGACATCTGACACTTTAAGAGGGAGACTGGCAGGGAGATGATGGCATTAAATAACAGAAATTAGAGCTGCCTAGATGACAAAGCCATCTCACGCTCCCCCTTCCTACAGGCCCACCCTCTCTCATGCATTCAGCAGCGCAGCCTGCAAAGCACTGTCCACAGAATCCTGGCGCGGTAGCCAGGGCAAGCTGGGAGCTGTCGAGTAAGGGGTGACTTTTCCAAGAGCCTCCTTTGTGTCTAGTCCTGTGACAAGCTGTAGGACAGGAGGGGGCGGGGCCAGGTCCTAAATTCAGGGAGCAAAAAGGAACAGAATATCACGTAGGAACCCAGATATCTATCTCATTCACAAATCCCCCACTGTACCCTCAGCCCCCAGCACAGAGCCAGGCAAGCAGGAGGAGGTCAAAAGTATTTGCTGATTGATCAGTGAGAATTAGATATGAGACGTGGGTACCTGGCTCAAAGATCCATCCCTCCAGTTCCCCCAGCACAAGCTTCCAGGGCACTCTGCTGAAACCATAGCTCAGATTCTCCCACAGAAACTCCTCCATGGCCCCCTGAATTGAATATCCACCTCTGTTCTTTTCCTACTGTACCCAGATCCCTTCACTTTCTCCTGCCCATTTACCAGTCCAACTCAGGTCAGCACCCCAACTGTACTTTGGCCCAGATCTATGCACTGATCTGAGAGAGGCTTTCTAGGAGACCCCAGAGCCCCTGGCGGTAAAGTTTTGGTTTGGGCCTCAGTCACTACTCCTGCTACCAGCCAAACCCTTGCCCTCTCTTTGGCCAGTGTTCTGGTTCCTCCTCTTGGATTATCCTTCCCAAAGATTAATATGCCCTATCCAACATGGGGCCTGACAAGGACAGAGTCAGCACTTAAAGATTAGATGGGTGAATGAATGAATGGATAAACGAGTGAATGAATCGAATGAGTAAAAGAGTCACCTCAAATGACATCTCTCTTGAGAAGCATTTTCTAGGCTCCAAAATTGGATCCACATACTCCTGCACAGAGCTCTCCTTCCAGCACAAGCTTCAAGCCAGGTGGCATGCTGAGCCCAGCCACTGACCTGGCTGAGGGCCCCATGTCCTAGTGTGCATTGAGGTCCCTGGGGAATGTTGGTATTATAGAATAAACATTTGGGGATAAGGCTCAGTTTCACCACCTGTAAAATGGGCCGCTACGTCAGCGGGTCAAAGCACAGCACTAAGAAGCTAAAGCCACTTCAGCATGAGTTCGATCCCTGCCCCGGAGGTGACACACATGGCACAGCAGACCTCACCAACCCGCTGCACCCCTCAGCAGTGTACTTTGTCAGTCTGCCTATTCTGCTCCCCACTCTGTCTCTGGTGCATCCTCTCACTGCCTATTCACCTCTGGCCTATACCCCAGTTCCATTCTGCATAAATAAGTAAATCTTTAAAAAAAAAAAAAAAAAAACTTTAGGGAGGCCGCAGCCACTTCAGTTCGATTCCCCGCCCCAAGGTGATCCACATGGTGTGGCAGACCTCTCCTGACCGGCCCGCTGCTCCCCTCAGCAGTGTACTTCCTCAGTCGGCCTGTTCTGCTCCCCACTCTGTCTCTGGTGAAGCCTCTCACCACCCCTGCACCTCCTGTACCCCAGTTCTGTGTGCATAAATAAATCTTTTTTAAAAAATGAGCTGCTACTTGCTCTACTAACTTCTGCCTGCTCTGGCTGTGAGGACCGCCAGACACACTGCCTGGTCACATTGGGGATCCTTCCCCTCCTACAGCTTGGACAAGGACCTCCTCACCTGGGCCTGAAGCAGACAGGGTGCTGATTCAGGGCCGAGCCCCTCCAGGTCATGGTGAAAGCTGGCTAAGTTTGAAGGTGGGCACACTGAGCCTTCTCCATCCTGGTCAGTAGGAGCTTCCCTAGAAACCTAGAATGAATGTGAGATTGAGGTTGGGGGCAGGCACTCACTGGGCACAAGAATCCCCACCCAGGAATGTCCCTGGTCTTGTGGCCTTTGCTCCACTTTCTGTGTTCCCCTTTAAATTGGGACTCCCGGTTGGGAACAGTCTCCATCCTCAGGCTCCTGTTCTTCAGAAGGGAATGAGACGACTTAGGGAACTTCAGGGAGGGGCTGGTGACTCTAGACAGGCCTGTATCTACTAACAGGGGCATAAACGTCCAGAAACTGGTGCCTGGACCCAGGGAACACCCACCTGCAGCATGGACAACTGGAGGTCTCCGCCTGGTGAGCGAGGTTCTGACCTGCGGGCTTCAGGAGGGCTGCTGGAGCCCGGGGCCCGAGGGGCTCGGTGCTCATGGAAGGCCACTCTGTAGGCGAGATGCCCACAGTGGCGCGCAGTGGGGTCAGTGCTGGCCCGGAGGAGAGCCAGGTGGCCGCTGTAGCGGTACAGGTCCTCATGTTCCCGCGCCCCCAAGTTCATGCGTGGCTCATCTGGGCGTGGGTAGATGGGGAAGAAGGCCTCGCCCACCCGCTGGGGGTATCCCGAGGCCCCGCCCAGCCTCAGCGCCTCCACGCGCAGGCGTGCATCGTGCTGACTGTCATTCTTGCAGAATCCTGGGTGAGATGTGGAGCTCAAGAACTGACTCTGGGACCTCCCTGCCTCCTCCCAGAGAATGAGGAGGACAAACGCGGTCCTCTCTCTTCCCCCTCAACTCAGGTTGAAAGCTCTTAGCTGTGAGATGAGCCTGGGTCCTCTCCTCCCCAGGGAGGCGTTTAATCTGTGGGACCCAAAGGTCCGGGCCATGGTTTCCCCATTCCCTCACCTCCAGGAAACCAGCCTGGATGGCCTCATGGTCTAAGCGTGGATCTTCTGCTCTTTCCAGATCACTTAGCTACTCTCTTTCTGGGATTCCTGCCTCCCCACATGATTTGGAAACTTTCTGCCCTCCACCACCCCATCAGCCCCTGCCCACCTCCAATACTCATATCCAGTGGTGCTTAGGCTGGTCACACCCAGTGTGACCTCTACTGCCAGGCCTGGTGCCAAACCTGCTGTGTACATTTACAAATCCAGTTCTCACTCCCTCTTTCATTCCTTCCTAACCTTCAGTCACACTGGCTCATAGAAGACCAGCATTTGCACAATGCTGGCAAAACAGAGCTTCAGAAGTCAGTCCAGAGTTCTGAACCTGCCCCTTGGTTTCCCCTGAGGTTCCCTGCTTTCCTGACAGGGATTAGAACAAGAGTTGTGGGTCCTTCTCCCCAACCACCCCCCCTCCCAAGCTCTCTCCCTACTTCCTACCTTTGGGCAAAGTAAAGACAAACTTGTTCCTGCTGAGGGTGAGGCTCTGGCCAGGATCCTGCTGCTCAATGACATCGGTAACAGCAGAGCAGACAGGAAGGGGTTCCTCATCATTCACTTGCAACTGCACGCCAGCCCCGGAGCCTGCCTGCAGCGGGTTCTCAGCCGACAGACGCAAGGTGTATCTGCCCTCCTCATTAAAGCCCAAGCTCAAGACCTCGAACTCTAGGTCCAGAGTCTTTTCCTCAGCCTTCAACTGTGGGCTCAGCAGGGAGGCAGGGGCCCAGGGTTCAGGCCCCTTAAAGTCCATGGCCTTGTCAGGGACTGTCCCTGGGCTGAGCACTGCTACCTTTGGTCCTCAGTCCCACACTGGGCACTCAGGGCCACACCCCACCTGCCCCTGTTTGTTTGAGATGAAACCAGGTAACAGAGCTAGGAAGCTGGGTCTCTGAAACAAAGGCAGCCATGGACCCTCCCTTAGGGAGTATGTTCACTAACCATTTATTGAACATCTACTGTGTTCCAGGAACGATTTTAGGTATTTGGAATATTGCAGTGAATCAAACACAGTTTTCTGCCCTGAATGTATTTTCCAATGGGGAGGGACATGGAACTAGACAAAAAATACACACCAACTATAGAAAAGAAGTAAGTTACAGTATCTATTAGAAGATGGTAAGTTCTGCGTGGAAATTAAAGCGGGGACAGGGATGAGGAGTGCTAGCCTGGGAAGGCATCGGTATCGGTTAATTAGGACTTTCTGGTCTCCATATGCCATTCATTCCCAAGAGTTCTTGATTAGTATATGTGGGGGTGTCTCCGGGAAAGAGGATGTTGTCTGTTCCCTGGAATCTCCATGGAAGCATGTCCTTAGCATCTGCTTCCTTCTGGAACCAGTTTACCTTCTTAATAAAAACTTATACTAGGGGACACAGATGTACTTTACAGGGGGCCCAGAGCCTCTTACACCAAAGACTGATCAAGCTGGAACCAATCCCCCATCACCCTGAATCTTGCTGATCCCCAGTGAGAGAGGGGAGATCCTGGACACTCGTCAATCAGGACCAACTCTACCATCACCACTGTCACCACACCACCATCATACACCACCACTGCTTCACCACCATTATTACCACCAGCACCGCCATCATCATCATCTCTAGCACTATTATCATCACTATTATCATCACATTATCACCTCCCTTGTCAGTATCATTATCATCATCATCACCATCATCATCATCATCCATAAATCTCTTCCCTAGTAGCTGCTGATTGCAGGCACTCCCTATGGCTCTGTGGGGTGGATACAATTATCCCCACTGTACAGATGAAGAATCTGAGGCTAGTAAGAAGCAGACCTGGGGTCTGAACCTAGAGATTCTAAGTCTATCTATATTTTTCCCTACTATATATGCTCTGGGATTGGCTCAAATATTTAAGTTCTGTCTATTAAGGACTTTTATACTCTTAACACTATAGGAGCACAGCTCTGAACTAAAAGTCTATGGGCAACATAGACTTCACTCAAAAAAGTTCACTTGAGGGCCTCCCTGGGGTGGGGGGGTAGGGATTAAGACTCAGCGCTATCACAGCTACGGCCTGAGTTCGATCCTCGGCCAGGGAGCTGACCCACACGGCATGGCAGATCTCTCCTGTCTCGCCTGCTGCTCCCCTCAGTAGTGTATTTCAGTAAATCTGTCTGCTCTGATCTCTATCACTGGTGAATCCTACACCCCAGTTCTTCTACACAAAAATAAATAATAGCTTTAAAACAAACAAATAAACAAAAAGGTTCACTTGAAGTCACTTTGACTATAATGCATCAGTTTCATAAAGTAAAAGATAACCAGTGTAAAGATGGTTTTGGCCAGCCCAACCAAGGACCCCACAAGGTAGGTTTCTTCTGCTGTGATTAAAATTCAGTGTCTTAAGGTTCGCCAAGAAGAAGCTGAGGCTCACAGGATTTAGAAGACCAGGATTCTAGTCACCTGATTTGCTTGTGAACTTGGCCAGATTCTCTGCTTTCCTGGGTGTCAGTCCACCACATCTGTATGATGGGTTAGAGTGGGATAGAAAACTCCCACAGTCCCAGCAGCCCGAGACTGTAAATCACGCTAGGAAAGGCCACAGTCAGACATTTGGGGGACATTGTGAGTGGCAGCACTCCCAGGAACCTTTGCTCCGACAGCTGGGCATGGCCACCTAGTTTGGGTCCAGGGCCACGGGTAGTCTTGGCTGGCTCTAAAGTCTTAGAGATTCAGTGATTTGGTGGAAGTGCTCACTTCCCTTGCTTGAAGTGACCCCCAAAGATGTTACAAGATGGGAAGGGGAGTCACTGCCTTCCGTGGTAGGTAGGGCCAACCTTTGTGCACGGCACCAGCCCCATGCCCCTCAAGCAGGTGCCAGCCCACATCCAGGCTCCTCTTCTCTTTCTCCTATGTTCCTCAATTCTCTCTCCCTTTCCTCCTGCTTTCCCTCTCTTCAACTTACTAAAAAGGATCTGAGGTGACAGTGTTGGCCTGGCAGGGTTTGAGAGTCCTCTACATCTGTCTCTGCCACTCAGTCTCTGGGGAAGGACCTTTTTTCCTTTTGGTGTATATGTATGGTTCCTTTTTTTTATATTGTGCAAAGTATGCATAACATAAAAGTACCATCTAAACCATTTTTAAGCATGCAGTTCAGTCATGTTAAACATATTTACATTGTTGTGCAACCCATCTCCAGAACTCTTTTCATCTTGTAAAACTGAAATTCTACCCTCTTTAAACAACTCCCCTCCTTCCTCCCCCAGGCCCTGGCAACCACCCTTTTAGTTTCTGTCTCTATGAGTGTAACTACCTCAGGCCCCTCATAGACATGGGATCACATAGTCTTTGCCTTTCCGTGACTGCCTATCTTGCTTAGCATAACGTCTTAGGGAAGACTCGCTTTTGCCCCAGGTCCTGCCTTCCCTGGCTCCCTGCTTGCCCAGCTGGCACTGTCCCTCTGCCTGCCTGATGTCACCTGCCTTCTGCCCACTGGCTAAAGGCCTTCTGGCAGCAACTGAGGTTAGTGACACCCTCCTCTGCCACATGACACGTTCCTCTTTTGTCTTGAATAATGACTTGGCCACATTGAACTGGGCATTCCTTCAGGAAGCAGATATGTGTGCCCAGGACAGGGTTGGGCAAAGGATAGTTACCTGGGGGATACCCAAGTATCATGGAATGGATGAATGAACGAATGAGCTGATGGACAAATCGAGGTTCTGCTTGTACATAATGAATTAGAAATGGCTCTTAGGGCTATTTCGTCGGGATGGTATTTGTGAGTGGGATTTCATCTCTGAGAAGTCAAGACCATTTGGACCTTGTACCCATGCGGTCAGTCAGAGAAAGGTCTCCTTGTGCCTGGCTGGGCAGACTGGTACTCTATAGGAAGGCAGCAGCATGAAGGGTAAGTGTCAGGCACAAAGCAGCAGTTCCTCGTGTGCAGACTTCTCTGGCCAGGCCTCAATTCCATGGAGAAAATCTGGAAACCTCTATAAATTCTAGCAAACCAGGGTTGGATGGCACCCCCACTTTACAGATGGGGAAAATGGACCCAGGAGCAGAGGGCAGGACCAAGTCCAAACTCTTATTTGGGATTCTTTCTACTCTCAGCTGCCTCCAAGTTCAGTTGCTGAGATTTGCAAAAGGTTTGAACTCCACTTGATGGCAGAAGTCTGACTCCCACAGAAGATGTCCAGAAAGGGGAGGGGATGTGGCTGAAGAGGGGGAAAACAGTGCTGACTTCCAAGCCACCTCCTGCAGTAGGAAAGGTCTTAAAGGTCTTAATGGGCCCTAGAGTCTTCTTTCTTTCCTGGGAAGAATGGCTACTCAGAGGCAACTGCCTTTGTAAGAGCCTTGGCCTGTAATTAGGCCACCGGGAGGCCCCTTCCACAATGGCTTCTTTCAGCCTCCCCTGCTGACACCCCACGTGGCTCTTAGAAACTGTAGGCCCCTACCCCCAAGGACCTACCTCCTACTTGTCCCCACCCCACCCCACTCCAGTCTTGTCCAGAGCTGAATCTTCCCACCTGAGAGACCAGTCTGTGAATTTACTGGACCCCCTCCCCCACCACCCCCACCCTCAGTATCTGTGCTGGGGCTACCAGCCCCTTCTACAGAGCAGGAAACTGACGCAGACGGGTGAACAGAGGCCTGGCTTCCAATTCCCACGCCAGTGTGACCGTGTGACCTTCGTCACCTGGGAACTCCCGTTCCAGCCCCTGCTGGCCGCCTTCCCCCCCTACCATGGAACCTTTCCCAGCCCATGCCCCACTGCCCTGGAGGTCACAGTGCCAGAGGCTCATGTCGGTATGGACTCACAAGCACAGACTGGCAAAGACAAGCACAACTACCAGCCTCCCCCATTGCACAGATGGGAAAACTGAGGCCCAGAGGAGGAAAGTGCCTGGTTGTGGTCACTTTGCCTGGTCTCCTCACTCCACCCATGGTAATGGTTAGGGCGAGGCCTGGCTACATGAAGGTTTCCCTTTAAGTGGTAACTCTGATCCTGTCCCCATTTCTCATGCGCCCTCAGATTTTTTTGTATACCCTTTCCTTCTCAGCCTCCCTCTCCAAGCGCTGCAGTACAGTCAAGAGAATCTCAGGTTATTCCTGAAGCCCTTTAGCTCTGGCCTTCAGCTTGGCAGACGCAGGTGGAGGGGATCTGGGGATGGACTTCGTGTTCCCTGGGCTCATCCTGACAGCCTTGCTTTGGGAAGAATAAAGTTCAGAGGGTGCAAGAGGGAGAGCCTGATCTCAGCAGCTCTCTGTGTGCTGTCTATGTGCCCAGTGACCCCGCTGATCTACTGACTCTGAAACCCAACCCCCTGAGCCAGTGGCCACTGTTTGCCGAGGGGCTCTGCAGGCCCTGGTGGTCCTGAGCCCAGGGCAAGTTCTGCAGCATTGACCACGGCAGCAGGTAAGAGGGTGGAAGGAGGCGCCGAGTTAGCTCACAGCACGGTCCAAGGTGAGTTACTCCCTGAAAACTTTAGAAGGAAGACAAACTTTACAACTGGGCTTAGAGAGAGAAATAAAGTGGCAGGAGCAAGAGAAATAGAAAGGGAAGGACCGAAAATAGAGACAAAGAAAGAATGCAGGGGAAATAAAGTGAGACGAAGATAAGAGCTTGGGGGAAAAGACTGAATCTGACAGAGGTGGAAATGGGAAGAGAGACGGATGGACTGGGACAGACAGAAGGACAGAGAGACAGACTAAGAAAGAAATCAAATAGTAGACTTTGAGAGTCAGCACCCACCAGTGGGTGTGCCCCAGACATGCT